TATGCCAAAATTTCAAAAAAAAAAAAGAAAAACATTGATTACATTTTGCAGCTATAGTCTCCCATTGAACTTTGATGAACTTTTTTTCTTTTTTGGTGAAAAGAAAAAAAAAAGTAACTTTGATAAAGCTACTTTTATGAACTTCGGCAAAGCTTTCTTTTCTTTTTTTGGGAGAAAAGGAAAAAAAGTAACTTTAGTAAAGTTATTTTTATGATTACTTACTAGCTTTTTAATACCATATTTTCATACATTGACTTTGAATAACGTGTTAATATTATTTTGAAAAAAGTCCACATTTCACCTGCCAAGCAATATCTGCCCCCAAATCAATGCACAGGACCCATTCCAAATTTCCAAACACCAAATACCAATACCCAAAAATTCCCGAGAAACCATCATCAAGAAGATGCTTCTCGATATCAGCACTCAGAAGCAACGTGCCCCCATATCATTTGAAGGTTAAATAGAAAATTCAAGCAATGTGGGTGGGGTAAGTGATGTATCAATCTGTACCCAAAATTCTATAGTTGATTGTTGTAGACAATGCTCTGCAAATTACCAAGAAAGTGAAGGTCTACGTGCAAGGTAACTGAGCGTCATCTAAAAGGAAACCATCAAGAAAACGCGTTACCTGGGGCCGAGCCCAGTTACAACTGTCTCAATTTAATTGATGATGCTTTCCCGCATACAAAAAAAATATAAAAATAATAATAATAATAATAATAATAATAATCTAAAATCTGGTGATCAAATGTTTGAAGGTGGAGGCCAACCACATGGGATTGGTACCCCACACATGTGATCCTTTCCCCCATAATTACGTAGTTAAAAAAATTAATAAAAAAAAAATTGTGGAGGTGGAGTGCGTTTGTGGTTGTCTTAAGACCAAAAAGTTATTGTAATTCTCCTGCAAACCACAAGACTCTGTTCAAAGACCTGAAAGTTATCGACACCTTTTGCCCCTCTCCATGCCTAGACCAGGCCTCATCTTTGCCGCTCTTCTTCTTCTTCTTCTTCTTCTGGCCTTAATTCATGAAACCTGCAGTGCCAAAGATAAACATTACTGTCCACCTTCTTCTTGTGGAAATAATTCGAATATTAGCTACCCTTTCAGATTAAACACGGATCCGCCTAATTACTGTGAAATGACTGCAGATCCAGTATATAATCTATCCTGTGAGAACAACCTTACAGTATTGTACTCTGATCAATCAAGAAAATTCTACGTGAAAGCAATCAATTATGACAATCAAACAATTCGAGTTGCTGATGCTGGTTTTGAAGGGAGCTGCTCCATACCTCAATATTCTTGGAACGTCTCTAACTTCTCAACGTTTTCACAACATTACTCTCTTTTTTCTTATTATTATTATTATTATCATTATTATTATGCCTATAATGTTTATTTATGGGGGGATGTTCTTTTCATAAGTTGTGGAAATCTTGTAAGTGATCCTCTTTATGTGGAAGCTCCTGCCTGCATTAATGACAGCTCTTTCTCCACACCTTATAGGCCTAAATCTGAAGGCAAAAGGTATTATTATGTGATAGTTGGAAGGACAACTGCACTTGAGTTAAAACCCTCATGCCGTATTGAGCTAATGGCACTTACACCTTTCATACGGGAGACGAATTACGAGAACCTCTCCTACCTGGACATCCACCATTTGTTAGCATATGGAATTGAGTTGTCGTGGAGGCGTGCTTCATGTGGAGAGACAGATTCTTCCTACATTAATGAGGAAAACCACTGTGTTTCTTATCCTCCAGCTGTTCCTGTTCCTGTTGCTGCATATCTGGGTACTTTAGAAACAAATTCTTTTGATTTGAGTTCCAATTGTGCAGATGCCTTTTCATTTCTTGGTCGTGTCATTTTTCAGTGGCAAAAAGTTTTGGCTAATTTTGTTTACTTTATGCAGTGAACCGAGTTTACGAAGTAATTTTCAACCATGTTCTATATTTTCTCGGTTATGATTTACCTGGTGAGTACCTCTAATCCACATCTTGTTCAAATATATATTATATAAATAAAGTAAAAATAAAATCTTATGTAGTATAAGGAGGGTATAGAGTTAATTCTATCCATTTTGTTTTTCTTCCTTCTCTTCCTTTGATTCTCTAAAATTGAGTTTGACTTTATGGTAATTTTATAAATAGTTTGATCTTTAAAGGCATTTTGATAGATAAAAGTTTTAAATTAAATAATGACAATTTGTGTAATTTTTGTTAAACTTTTATTTAGTTCGTAATTACATTTTTCTTAATTTATATCTCTTTTCTATTTGAATGGAAATTTTTTATATTTTTCTATTT